GTTGCCCCTCCCCCGCTGCCACTGCCTTGTTTCTTCTCTGCCACGTAGGTTCCCTCATATACTTGTGCACTGTCTGTCTCCCTCCACGACAATGTCAACTCCGTAAGGGCAAGGGCTTTGCCTGCCTGCCACAGCTAGATCCCCAGGGCCTGGCACCCGGTCCTGCTTCAAAACCGCACACTGAGTGGATGACTGAGCGAGTGGACGAGCCAGTCTCGGACTCCAGCCTGGCCACCTCCAGCCCTGTGTCCACTGCATGCCAGAGAGATCATCAAGGTCAACCATCTCTTGTCAAAATATGTTATGGTTCTTCCCATTAGCAGAATAACGCCCAATCCCACGGCGCGGCACGTGCAGCCCCTCACGCACTTTTCTAGACTCAGCTCTCCGCCCAGCCCCCTGCTCCCACACAGACCACCGTCCTTCCCTAGAACAGCCCATTCTTAACCATGTTTCCAGGCCTCCCAGCATGCTGTTCCCCCTGCCTGGAATGTACTCTTCCCACGATCACTCCTGGAGGTACATCCTGCGACACCCAGGTCCAAAGCCCCCCGTGGCGAAGCCTCGCCGCCGCTCCGCACTCCCACAGGGGGGGCCGGCTTCCCGCTGCGCCCCTAACGCCTTGGGTCAGACCTCTCAGGCCACAACCAGCAGCTCAGGAATTGCTTGTCTCCAGTTATGTCTTGACCAACAAGCATATTAGCTCCTAAGAGAGGGCAGGCCCCTGGCCTTTGTCAACAATGCCCAGCATGGGGCCTGACTACAGTACCTACTGGGGTCTTGTTTGACAAATAAAAGAACAAAGTCACAGAAGAGCCCTGTGATTTTCTGTTCACTACTGACAGCCATCCATCCACCCATTAAACGCCCTTTGAGTGAGCATGAGACCCTCACTACCTACAGTCCTCACCAATGGCAGCCCCAGGCCTGGTCCTCATGCTGGCCTTTTCTCTCCAAGGGGCTCTTGTCTTCTACCTGGGACCCTTCCTCAACCTGAGGCCATGACTTTGAAACAGGAAAGGAAAGAAGATGCTGCATTTTCCAAAGATGTTCTCCTCTGCCCACCACATGCCACTCACCACCATTCACACCATGCAGCCCAGGGTCCACCATGGTGCCTGGCAAATAGCAGGTGCTCAATAAATGCTGAGTGAATGGAAGAAGACAGACCCTGCACAGCCTGTGCCCCCATGATTTGGAGCCTTGGAGACATCGTACTTAGTGGGTTGATCACTTCATCCCTCTTCCAAGGCACCCAAGCCTCCCGGTGATAGTGATGGTGATGAGGTGAAGGTGTGGTGCTTTTGACCCCATCTGCCCTCTAGCTTCTGGTCTCATGAGTCCAGGACAGACAGTGCGTGGGGTCAGAGGTCTCACTGTGCAGCACAAAGGCTGGGAGTTGAGGCCCCAGACCCCACTGTCCCTGCTGTTTTCCCAGCTACCCAGCGGTGGCAAGAAGGCACGCCAGCCTCCAGCTCCAGGATGGCTAAACCCATTATTACCCCATCTCAGGCCACTCCCTAGTGGGTGATGCAGGAACACCTGGGCCCCCTTCCAGGAGCAGGAGAGCCAGATAAACCCTTGGGCACTGGGTAGAAGCAGGAAGCTGGTGCTTCCAGAGGCCCCAGAGGCCTCAACCACACCCCCGCAGCAAGCTGGTTTGTCCAGGATGGCTGTGGCTCAGATGACCTGGCTGCCCATGCCACACCCAGAACGTGCTGGGCCATGACCAGGTTTTGACCCATGACCCTGCCCAGCAGCATCCAGCACTGGTGACCCATTTCCATGCCCAGACTTGGAGGGGGTGTGGGGTGGATGCCAAGTACAAAGCACCAGGCACCTGTGCACGTATTTCCAGGACTCAGTTATCACAGGAAAAGCCACATCCCCTCATGTGGTGCACACAGCAGCCCATTGTACAGATGAGCAACATGGTGCTGGGAGGGAAACCGACCAACCAAAGCCTCTCGGCTTCCCAAGGGGTGAAGGTGAGATTTGAACTCAGGCTGTGTGACCCCAAGCCACCATAAGGGCCACCAGCCTTTACACTCTACAGGACCCCTGGAAGGGAGGGGGGTTCAGGTGAAGGGGTTAGGCCGTCAGCACACTCAGTCCCCTGCAGACTGCCTGACCCCCTCCTCCAAACCCGAAGGTGCACAAATGTAACAGAGTCTTGGGTTCAAGCCCACAGTCAGTCCCAGTCCCTTCCTGTCCGGGCCTCAGTTTCTGCACCTGCTCGAGTCCCAGGTTTGGCTCAGCTCAGAGCGCTTCGGGGGCCCTTTCTGCTCAGACAGGACTCTGCCCCAGGGGCTCCCCTAGTCTTGGCTTTGCCCTCCTGATTCACGCGCCTTTCTATGTGCGTCCCGACTCCAAACGCCTTCGGCTGCCGCGCGGGACGAGAGAAGTTCAGTGATCCGGCCACCGCGCACCCCCAGGTCCACTCGTGGGCTTTGGGGGGGTGGTCTCTGATGGCTGAGCGGCTGACTGGAGGGTTACTTAACAAAGAGGGGGCAACCCTTAGCCCTGGAGCCTCCCTCTGACCTGGTCCCGTCGAGGGCACCTACCTTGCGCCATCAGAACGGCACCCTCGGGGACACCTGAGTGCGACTAACGCCCTGGGGCGGGAGGCACGGGGGCCGGGCTGGGTCCCCTCGCTGCGCTTCCTTGGGGGACGGCGGGGGGCGTCCCGGGCCCTGCAGGGCCTTCCGAGGAAAGACGGGGGGGTGTCCCCTAGCATCGATCCCGACTCGGGTCCGAACGCCACGGGTCCAGCGCTGGGAGCGGAGCCTCGCGCCCGACCCCGTCCCGCGAATGCACATGCGCCACGGCGGCGACCCGCCTACCGCGCCCACTCCCCTCTCCCCCTGCCCCGCCTCCCTGCAGGACCACTGACCATAGTGACCGGAACTGTCGGGCCAGGTCCCGCCTCGGCGAGGAGCGATCCGGTGCGGGAGGGCGCCGCGGGAGCCACGGGCTGGCTCCGCTCTCGGTTCGGCGGCGGGGGCCTGGAGGGCGTGGGGGAGAGTGGAGGAGAATACACCCGACCGCTCCGCAAACCAGAGGTGAGACCTACACTGTGTCCCAGCAAGACACACGCCCCGCGATTGACGTCCGAGGCGGGCATTCAGAGGCCGGGACGCACAACGTCACAGAAAGTGGGTGGGACTTCACGCGCCTTCAGCCTATGCTTTAAGGTCCATTTGACAAGGGACCGCCCCCTTTTAAAGACACAGAAAGCTTTGAGCTAAGGAAGGAGTTAGCACAATCCAGAAAGGGAGGGCTTCCTTGTAAAGGCTGAAAGGCTTTTGACCAAAACTGCAAATCGAGGTCTTCTGAAATATTAGCTGGCCCTCATTAATTCACAAACAAGGTCATATAAGTATAGTTTGCTCAAGGCCGGAGGACAGGCACTTAGGGAACATGTGTCCAAAACATTAGCTGCCTGCCCTCGTGTAGCTTCTAAATAATATTTTACCCCCTTCAAACTCATGAACCAGCAGGTTGCCAGGCACCCAATTAATGTTTGTTGAATAAATGAATTTCCAGGATTGTTGATTCTGGGCCTCTGGAATTGTATGGCTATATATGAGGCACAGACCTCGAACCAGGTTTGGTGACTCACCTGGCATACAAGCTCATTATTACTAAACATCAAACAGAGGAATATGTTTCATTCAGAGATTTAGTCACCAGCCCTTGACCCCTGGAGGAGTGCATTAGGCGGGGGAGGGAAGGTTTGTGGGGAAGGGGGCTGCAGTGCATTGCACGCACCGTTTTACAAGTATTAATACTTCCAGGAGCCAGGTATTAAGCAGTTCCCCACCCCACTCTCACTCCCCTGCCCCAGGCACCAGGCTCCTGGACAAACACCCGTGTCTTCCAAGTAAGCAATAACACTAACAGCTAATTTTTACTGAACACTTACTGTGTATCAGGTAGTGTCCTAACCTCTCAACCTACATCATCGTTCTTAATTTTCTCACATCTAGTTTAGGGGCATAAATTCACACAGCATGCAGTGGGAGTCAACCCCAGGCAGCCTGACTCCAGAGCTGGTTTTGAATTCACCGTTGTGTGACTGCAGGGGGGTGGTGCACTACCACCCCTGTTTGCCTTTGCAGAGTTTCTGCTCTTTGTGTTTTTTACAGCCTAAGAAGCCAGAGAGGTGACATAAGCAGCCCATGCTGCTCAGCTAGGAAGTGGCCCAGCTGGGCTTGATCCCCGGACTTCTGACTCCTCAATTAGTGCTCATTCCAGGCTGTGTTAAGCTCACCTGGTGGAGGAATGACTGAGTTGGGTGCGGTCACATGGGGTGCAGGTGAAGAGTCCTCCTGGGAAGGGCTTGTGAGGGCATTGCCTGGGGCCTGGTCTCAGGTTTAGCCCTGGTAGAGTCCACATCCAAGCATTTGGGGTCCCCAAGAGGAGGACCCTGAGTGAGCTGAGGCTTCTAGGAACCCTCGTGTTGGATGGCACTAAATCTCGAGCCCTTGGCCCACTGTCCTCCCTGGCCCAGGCCATGCAGGCAGCTCCAAACTGAGCCAAGAGTGCCCTGTGGAAGGAGCACTGGGCTGGTTTGCAGAAACTCTGGGCCCCAGGCTGGACTGATTCTGCCACTCAATGCTGTGTGGCTTCAAGTGACTTTCAGGCCATCTCTGGGCCTCTAATTCCCCACTCAATGGGAGGGTTGGACAACCTGGGGGATTAAAGAAAAAGATAAATTTAAAAGCTGTTTTTCATACTGAAGCTTTTAAACAAAACACAGTCTTATCCAGACTCTCAGTATATGTGTAATGGAATCTTTCCTCAACTTTGGCTGGAATAAGCAGAGAAAGTGCTATCTCTTTAATCTATAACTAATCAGGCTTCTTCCTGAGCTCTCTAAAGCCTGGTTAGAAGAGAAAATAATGTTTACAAAGAGTCCAGCTGGTTTTCAAGCTGGATCTGAGTTAAAAATGTAAGCAGTCCTTTCAGGGGCCACCTCATAGCTGGGGGTGAACAAGTTCTGTCTGAAATGGATTGGCTTTCTTCTCCCTGAGCCTGTTCTACCTGGTGTCCAGGTGTCTGGGTGAAGGGGTCCAGGGGTGGCTGCTATGGCCTCACAGGTTCAGAGAAGAGGGTCTTGTCCTCCAGCAAAGGACCTCCAGTAAAAGGATGCCCCAGCATCTGGGGCTGGGCTTTGTGGCCCATGCATGGCCTTTCTCAGAAGGTTGTCCCCACCTCACTCTCTACAACGTGGCCCCAGCCCACCTTACTTGTCCCCTCTCTCCCTCACTTCTCCACGTGCCCAGTACATGAGCCTAAGAGGATGGCTTCAAGTGCTCAGAACCTGCCCCATGCTTTGCCCCTCTGAGCCTTTGCTCTTCCTGGGATGCCCATTTCACAGGCTCCACTTGTCAGATCCCACCCCGCTTTCAAATTCTGGCCCCTTCTCCATGAAGTTATACCATGTCGCTGCTTACTTTTCAGTGGAAACATGACCATAGCCCCACGAGGGTCCTGGATGGGCCAGTTTCCCAGCCAACTGCCCATTGTGGGCTCCCCCAGGCCTGGGTTTGAGAGCTAACATTTCTTCGGCTCAGATAGCAAGTGCTTGTACCCACCGCATGCAGTTTCCTGGGCTGGGCAGAGAACACTCTTCAGCTTCCACAAAAGGAAAAAGCATAGGACAGTTGGGGATGGGGAAGGCGTGGCAGCCCTGGGCTTGGAGAGAGCTGCTCATTCCAGCCCTGGCCTCACCTCCTGAAGGAGGCTGGAAGGTGTCCTAGCTACAGATCTGGGGCAGGTTACATGACCTCTGGTGATACGCAGCTTCTAATCGCCCCCAATGACCCCTCCTCCTGTGTTCACAGAAATAATTCCCTCCTCTTGAGTGTGTCTGGACTAGTGGCTTGTTTGTGACAAACAGAATACACCAAGTGATGGAATGTTATTTTTGAAATCAGGTTAAACAAAGACCATGGCTAATGTCTTGCTGATCTCTCTTCTCTCTCACTTGCTACATTGTGAGCTGACGTATGGAGAACTGAGGCCCTCAGTCCAACAGCCGTGTGGGTGAGTTTGGGAGCGGATTCTCTCCCAGTCAAGCCTTCAGATGAAACCACAGCCCTCGTCAATGGTGGATTGAAGCCTTGTAGAGAGACCCTGAGCCAGAGGACCCAGATTGCCAACCTTCAGGAATCATTGTTTTATGCTGCTAAATTTTAGGGTGACTTCTTACGCAGCATGCGATGACTAATATAGCCTCTCTTGTTCTCAACCTCAGTCCTCTGTGAAGTGGGGTTAATGCTGCTCACATCTCTGTGTAATTGTGGGGGGTCACTTCCTCAAGCCCCCACTAAAAGCAGAGTGGATGTTCCACGGCACCATTCCTCACTACTACTTTAGTCACACAAATCAATGTCTTTTTGCCAACTATGGCAAGTGCTGGGAAGGAAGAGAACAGGGTGCTGTGGGAGCGGATAACTGAATGCCCTGGGCTCGTCTGGGAAAGAGGGAGGCTTCTCAGAGCAGATGAATTTTGAGCTGAGGTCTGAAGGATGAGTTGGAAGAGGTCACAGTCCTGCTCTTCCCTGTCCCTAGCCTGTTAGTCTTCTTTGTGACTCCAGTCTTAGCGGTTATGATTCATGACTATTCAGGTGTATGTGCCTTGGGTAAGCTCCGAGAGGGCAGGGACAAGGTCACCACAGTACACTGAGAACCTGGCACAGTGCCTGGCACGTAGCAGGTGCTCAAGAAAAATGCAGTGAATGTCCCGTAGGCACAAGCAAAGACTAAGGGACAAAGCATTAGAAACAGAGGGGATAGCACGAGTGAAGGTCCTGGGAGAGGAGCTGGTGAATTCTAGAAGCTGCGAGGGGCCCGTCTGGCTGGAACGCAGGACAGAAGGGAGAGTGGTCTAGGCTGGAGAGGTGGCCAGGGCCAGGTCGTGCAGGCCTTGAAGCCTTGGAAAGAGTTTTGTATTAAGGGTAATGGGGAGCCTTAGGAGGGGCAGGAGGGAGGGTGGACATGATCAGATGTGTTTTTTTGAGAGATCGCTGTGTCTGCTGTGAGAGAATGGATTTGAGGGGGTAAGACTGGAAGCAGAAGACTCAGGGGCTGTGTTGTTATCCAGGCCAGAGATAAGTGTGCCAGGGGCGAGGGTGGGAAGTGTCCAGGAACAGAAGGTGACATCGAGAGGACCTGGCAGTGGCTGGATGTGAGGTGGGGGGAGAGAGAGTCTAGGGTGGTGCTGAGGTTCCTGCCTTCCTAGTGGATGGCTGGCTGAGCCGCACCCGGACAGCACAGCCTCGATTAGACCAGCGGAGCTCAGTGCCTGTGTGAGTCCCCTTATAACATTGCCCAGAACACGAGAAATGGAAGAATTTGGGCCTCTGTGATCCCTGGACACACTCTAGGCACCCCCAGAGCAAAACTCAGCAAAGCTTGACCTCGGAGGGCCTGGCAAAAGCTTCTTGACACTCGAGCCTGTGTTTACAGATAATGGAGGTTGTGCAGAGTAAGTGTCCGGCCAGGCCCCAGGGGCCACCGAGCTGGGCCAGGCAGAACCGAAGTGCAACCCAAACAGGGAGCAGCTTCCTCCTGGGTCATTTACTTAAAGGTTTTTACAGGGAGAAAACATGGTGTGTGTGTTTGTGTGTAGGAACAAAGTGTGTATAAAAACAGGAAGAGAACTCATTTACATAAAATTTTCAGCTGAAACACAAGTGCAGAGGCATTTGGTTCCCCTCAGGCCCAAGGACAAGCTCCTTGACAGTCAGTTCACTGTCCTCTGCCAATAGGGGCATTTGGGGAAAGTTTTCAGAGCTTTGACCAGGGAAAGTGCCCTAGCTTTGAGTCAGGTAGACCTCTGTTTGCTGTGTGACCTCGAACAGGTTACTGCACCTCTGTGAGCCGAGGAGTCCCTTTCCATTGCCCTTGAAAGACCCTGCCCCTCCCGTCAGGCTGGAGTAGCTGTTCCTCTCAGGTTGGCTTTCCGACCTGCCCAGTTCTCACCTTTTTACCACTTGCTGGAGAATTAAAATGTGTTCATCTTCTAGGTGGCAACATTTCGCCTGGA